TTCGTTATAAAAAACATAAATGTATTTACCACATCAGCTACCGGCTACACAATTTCTTTTTGTCTTTAACCCATTTATGCCCACAACTATTTTTGTCAAAATATCTCGATGATTTTTTCAAAAATTTAATAAAATACATTAAAAAATTACTAAAAAAAATTTTCAAAAACTGGTTTTCGAAAAACATGCTGGGTCGTTAACGACCCGTTGGGCATATAAGGGTACAAAATAATACTAATAGTAACTTTTTTGCAATTACATTTTATATTATTTTCTTTCAACAAAGTAAATATTTACTCCCTAAAATGAAAACAATAAAGCAGGCATAGTCTAATTATATAACTTAAGTCTTAAAATAATTTGTATGATGATATTTGAAGCATTTATCGTGGAGTGGAATTTCACATCTGTCGCATGCTTTTGTTGTTTTGTTTGAACATATGCGACATCTTCTTCTTTGAGCACCAATAATAATTATATGCTGTGTTGATGAGGATGGTGTAGGAATTATTGCAATATTTTGTGGTCCAGTGGAACGGGGTGACTTTCCATAATTAGATCATAATGTACGTACTTTACGTCTTCTAAATTCTGAGTTGTCATTTTTGTATCCAAATTGTCGTGCTAGTGTCCAAGCATTAGTAACACAAACATCCAGCATCCATATCCATATGGGAAAGTACCATTTTTTCCACGTATTTTTATTCTATAGTTTGAAATGTTGTCCATCAAGTCAACTCCACTCATGTATTTATTATATTGCGAAATTACAAATGGTTGATCTATTTTTGTTGAGCTAAAAAGCTAAGCTAAAAAGCTATGGAAAGTTTTGCAGGAAACAAACATTAACCACACAGTAATTAACGCCCTTAAACAGCTTTATGAAGGATCAACGTCGGGAATAAAAATTGGAAATAGACTTTCAAAAAAATTTCCTGTAAACAACGGACTTCGGCAGGAGTGTTGCATATCCCCCACATTGTTTAAAATCTACGTGGCGAAAGCACTGGGGTTTAGAACTCAATACACAAAAAACAAAATATCTCCCAATAGGCGCAGAACTATCCAACATTCAGATGGACACAACCGAAATTGCATTCTGCACTAAATACACCTGCCTAGGAATTGATTTCGACACCACAGGCACAGACAATAGGGAAATTAGAAAACGAATAACCCAGGCCCGTAGAACAATTGGATGCCTTAACGGAGTTCTTTGGAGCTCAGAAATTGGTCAAAGACGAAAATACAATATATATGAATCTCTCATAAAAACCAGCCTAACCTATGGTACAGAGACATGAAGACTAACAGAAAGCAATAAAAAAAAATCGAAGCAACAGAAATGGATGTATTTAGACGATCACTTCGAATATCTAGGGCAGACAGAATTAGAAACGATGAAATAAGGAATCGGATGGAAGTAGATGGATCACTGGCAACAGACATAGAAAGGAAACAACTTATATGGTATGGCCATGTTCAAAGAATTCCAAAAACAAGACTACCAAAAATCGCCATGAAATGGATACCACCAAATCGTAAGAAACGAGGAAGACCAAAAAGAACATGGAAGGAGGGAATAACAAAGGCAATGAGCTCCCGAGACTTGACCGAAGAACAATGGAATGATAGAAATTCGTGGAAATTAGGCATCGGACAACGACGTAAGACGTTTTGAAACCCATATATATATATATATATATATATATATATATATATATATATATATATATATTGTTATGATATGTAAAATCAATAAAAATATTGGTTTGTTTAAAATATTTTAAAGTTCCAAAAAAATTAAAATAATTCAGATAAGTAGGATAATGAACAACAAACATTTCGAAGAATGAAAGTCTTTTAATTTTGGATTACCTGTATTTAAGAAGACGTAAAATATGCATAAATTATTTTCTTTGTTAAAATATATTTGAGTGACCCGTATAAGCTTAAGTGAAATTCTAGACCATGGAAGCGGTTTTTCCAAATAAATGTTGTGCAGCAATTAGGACAATAGAATAGATTTTAGAAAGATATGTTTTTGTTAGTTCTTAAGAATTCGTAGGAAAAGAAATTTTGTAAATAAGTTTTAGGAAATTTTATAATTGTAGGTAAAAATTTGTTGTGTTATCGAAATGAAAAAATGGGAGATGTGTGACGCGTTTTGATTGGATGAGATTGAAAAAGGTGGGATGGTTGGTTTGAGAATGAGACTTTAGTTAGTTTTTGAAGAAGAAAAGATAGTCAGTTGGTTTTCAAAGGTGCAAGGCGAACGGCCGTTGTTCTCGGGTAGTTTCCCAGAGGTAGGAAGCAGTAGCAGTGAAAGTTTGTGAGTTTTCGTGTAGTTAGTGTATCTGACAGAAGCTGATCCAGTAAAAGATTGTAAGTTATATTTTTTACTTATATTCCAAGAGTCACTGTTCAGGCCAAAGAGAGATTCAGTTTATCGTAAAGAGAAGATATTCCAAGAGTCATATTTCACTCAGGCCAACGAGAGATTCAGTTTATTGAGAGGAGAAGAAGCTAGCATGATTTGAACGATTCGTGCATTTGAAGGATATCATTAAGGACGATAAACTTGTAATAATTTGTTGTAAGATTGCTGATTACCTAGGGAGCTGCTAAGAATAGATAGTGTAGGCTACAAGGAACAAGGATTTGGACTACTCATCATCATAGAGAGATAGTTTTGTTTTTCTGCAGTTTTTTCTTTCATTGATAACAAAATTTTTACAATTACTTTGGAAAAGATATAAATATTTTGATTAGGACATTTAGAATAATAATTGGGATTTTGAGAGTTGAACTAGTATTGTTTGTACCATTAATTTTGAAGGTTCACGTACGTAGAACAAAATTTTGAGAATAATTATATGAGATATTGTTTATTGAAAACATTTGAGTGTGAATTTTATTTCATTATTTTTATTTCAATATATAATGTTAGATCCTATATGTTTTTTTATTATTCCGGTATTCTTTGGACCTTACCTTTCAAATGTAATAGCATAGATATTGAAGCACGAATATAACCCTGAGATAAGAGAATTAAAAAGTGTGATAGAATCATAGTCATATCATTGAAATAATTTAAATTAATTAATTAATTAATTAGCTAATTAATTGCTTGACACACTAAGACTTTGAATATCACAATAATATATATATATATATATATATATATATATATATATATATATATATATATATATATATATATATATATATATTATATATGATCTATTTGAATTTTTTCTTTTGCTGAATATCGGCTTGCTTTTTGTATTGGCTCAGTTCCATGCTCATTGGATAAAATAGTGACAACATTATTATCTTCCATTTTACAGCCGCAATTTTAGCGCTCCATTTAAAAGAGCTACAATAAGACCCTCTTGGCTTTTTTATCATAATTTATTTATCTTCTATAGGACACTTTTCTGTTCTGTTTTCGCGTACAGTTCCAGTACCACTAAATCCCATTTCTCCAAGTGATGATAGCAACATGCTTGTAAAAAAGTTATCGAAATATAAGGAAAATTTTATATTTTTATATGTATTTCGCAAAATCTCTGCAAAGTTCAAGACCACAATTTCTATTAATCCACAATTAAACCACAATTTTGATCAACACTAATAGCTAATTTTCGGCCTTGATATATGTCAAAATTTAGGCAATATCCATTAGATAAAGCCATTACCCATACTTTATAGTCAAATCTTATTGGTTTGCCGCGAATAAATTGTTTGCACCCATTACGACCAAAATAAGGAATCATAGATTTGTCGATAGAAATTCGATTTTCAATGGGTGCAAACGTTAAAAACTTTTTATTTAATATTTCGATGAAAGGTCTAATCTTGACCAATTTATCATTTTTTACCAGGTGGTTGTTGTCAGCAGCGTGAAAAAATCTAAATATCTCTTTAAATCTATTGCGTCTCATAGATTTCGTTACTAAAATATTAGACTGAGTTTTGACTGAGATTTTAAGGTACGATCAGTAATAAAAAGAGTAATTAAAAAAAATTATTAAAAAATAGCGTATATTTGCATACCTGCTTTAATTTTCTCGAAGAAGATTTAATTGCAAAATTACCCCCTCCAATTTACGTTAGTGGAGCAGCTCTTCAAGCTCAAATGTTGAGATTTGAAATAAGTTTTGGACAATTTGACGTTAGATGGCCACAAATATGTTTAATTTTGCTTTTTTTATAAAAATAATTTTAAGAGTTTCGTTTGAATAAAATTTAAATCTGAAAGAAGCAGTTTATTTATGCTTGTCGAAAATGTTAACCCTATTTACTATTTTCATTTTTATGCATTTTAAGTTGTGAGCTTTTTACATCATTTTGGTAACTGAATTAATGTTCCAAGGTACAAGACCAAATTGTACCTCGGTCCATTCTAGACCAAATTAAAAATGAATTAATTTATGTCTTAAACATATTTTTATTTAAACGTTTTAAATACATTGGTGCTTAGGAAACATATTGCTAATTTGCTATTAAATCCCTACTCAATATGTTAAATAGTAAAATAGTTACAGGTCATTAAAAAAGTGTCCCAAGGTACTACTCTCTTCTTTTGTAAGGCAAAGCAGATAATCGCACAAGAACTCTTTAATTTAGAAGGTGAAGCATTAATATATAATTGTGTATGTTATATAAATGATATAATAAAACAATTACTTACAAATATAATAAAACCATTGCTCATGGATAATATCCTAAGTTATAAAAACTGTTAAATATGCGATATTTTTAAGAAAGTTTTGCAATATTTTGCAAATTTAACAAACAAAAACATTAAGATAAATTCTTATTTTAACTCAAGTATGTCAAGCCGGTACTGAAGTATAACACACTCTTGATAATACATCGGTCTTGTCTCCAACAATGAGTAGTTTCTTTTAAAGCCCTATTGATAATATTTGATAAAGTTTTAATTGTAATGATCATTAAAGATGTTTCTGATTTTTTCATTGAAATTTTCGTAGATGTGGTCGCTTCGTCAGGGTGTATGATAGTGGTGTCCAATCGGCTGCCGTTCGTACTACAGCGTGATAAGGATGGAGCACTTTTTAGGAAAGCCAGGTAAGTCAATTAAAAATTTAAGAATATGCGTAGCTACAATAATTAAAGCTCAATTTTTTAATCAAAAATCAAAATAATGTTTCCTCATCATGTATAGTTATACTATGAATTAAAATTGTACTTTTACGATGATGTTACGGATAAAATTATGTATGTTAAGGTGGGGACGTTCTAGCAGTTTTTCTTGTGGGGAGAATGTTTATCTGTGATAATCTCGAAGAGAAATGCAGGCTAAATCTTTTTAAAGTATACTAGAACTTGTCTGTTTAAGTTGTAATCCATGCCATCGTTTAATCTTGAGACCATTTTTTTTAAGTTTATCATGAATTTGTTTCCTATTTTTTCTTATTTTCTCTTCTGCCGGAAAACAGAAAACATTTTACAATCATTATCAAATCAACTTTAATATTCATCATCATTATCGTCAGTGGCATTACAGCTCGTCATGAGCCAAAGCCTTCTTCAGAACAACCTTCCATTCGCCCCTGTCTTCTCCAAGCTTTAACTCCGATGGATTTTAGATCATCCCCTATGTTATCTCGATACCTAAGTTTTGGTCTTCCTCTGGATCGTCTTCCCACTGGTCCTCTTCGGTCGAAAATTTTTCTGATCGTTGCATCTTTATCTCGCCTAATTACATGTCCTATCCATCGAAGGCTTATTGCTAATTTAATAAATTTTACAACATAAGGTTCTCCAAAACTTTTGTATAATTCAAAGTTGTAGCGCCTACCCCACAAACCCTGTTCTTGGACTCCTCCATATATTTTCCTTAGAATTTTTCTCTCGAAACGTCTAAACAGTTCTTGGTCGTTCTGTGTAAGTGACCACGTTTCTGACCAGTATGTTAACACTGGCCTTATGAGTGTTTTATATATGGTGATTTTAATATTTCTGGGTAGTTTTGGGGCCATCTGTTTTCTCAAGCCATAATAGCACCAACTTGAATATTATTTATGTTTTTGACATATTTTCTGTAAGTTCACTACTGTTTTGATTGTAAAGCTAAATACAAATTGTATACTTTTTATACCTTTTTAATTAAAATATGTCAACATTTTTATGTTACCTTATGATTTCTTTGTTTGAAAAGTTACTCAGATTGACATTTAACTTAAATATTTTATAGAATAAGATTTTGTAGTATTGTTAGCTCACAAAAAGCTACTGCTACTGCTACTATATTTCGGTTAGGACAAAGCTGCAGCTTCTCTAGCTAACATGTGAATTGAACCAACAGCTAAATATTCTAACACTTCGAACTGATTTTTCAACCCACTGAGTCATCCAGCCTGCTTACAAAAACTATAGTTTATAAAAATGTACGTATCAACATATCTTTAATTTTGAAATAAAAGTAATTTTGGAGAGATGGGATTTCGTCTAGTCAGTTTTTCAAATGTTACACATAATACATTTTTTGGAAATGGTTATATGTTTAATTTAATCGAGTTAACCATAAGATGTTGGTGTGTATTCCACAGTTATAACCATCACCAAATAATTTCCTTCTGTAGAACTTTCTGGCCTTATGTGTGGCTAGAACAATCTCGTTAGGGTCATTGCAGAAATTTTTTCAATTTCTAGTCGATCCATGGTTTTAAAATCCTGATAAAAACTGTCTCCGTGTTCTTCACTGAAATTACCTCAGTTTTCTGGAATTTGAAGATCTATCTTAACCTAGTGCTAATGTTTTTTTCTCTACTGACCCAAAGACATAAAACACAGGGATTTTTATATATCCAATATCCACTAAGGACAGTTACAATTGTTCTCAGATAGTTTATCAATGTTGAAAAAAAGTCCTTCGTAAGTAAATTTATTTAGAACTAGGGATAAAAGTAGTTTAAAAGAACACGTTTCTACGTACTGCCAATAAAAAGTCATCATCAAGTCAGATCATTTTCAGCAGATCTCAATATTTTTGTAATAACATGTTATATTGGTACCTTAATCGTAGATTTTTTCGTTTTAATCTGAATAGAAGTAATTCAACAGGCTCCTTAGATAGGTTCAGGTCTCTAACAAAGTCATTTTTTTATAGCAAAATTGAAAATTTTTCGGATCTGACATTGGTAGTTTTTTCTTATCTCCTAGAAGTGTAGGTAGACTACTGAGTGTTGGAATAAATATTTCTTCAGTAAGTGGTACTAGCTAGTTCCTGAATTGAAATCAGGATATATCCAATTTTAATTATTATGTCGAGTAATGTCTTGATTATTTATAATACAAAAATAAAAAGCTTGATGATTTTTTGGTTATTCAAATCATTGGTACTCCAAAACTTAGCTTCTTCCTCTTTCTTATTGATCATTGCCGCAAATATTAAACGCATTTTTTTAAATTTCAAATATAAAGCTCAAGATTTATCGTAGTCTCCCAAGTAGATACCAAAACAATCTGTAAAAGCTCTTTTAATTGTAACAATATTATATGCTTATAGTGGACTTAAAGGGAGGACTGAACAATTACTGGGCTTGGAGATAGGTTAAGCAAATAAACTAAAATGTTAGCGAACAGCTACTCGCGTTTTAGTTGGAGAGCAAGGTCTTGTATAAGGATTCCTTTTTCTGAGAGAACTGGGAGAACTAACTACGAAAAAGAAATCAAGAAATACTAACATTCCTTAGCAGAGACAGAAAAATACTCTTTGTAGAAGAGTGTCTTCTACAGATTTGTATTGTTCGTATGTTGTTCGTCGTTTCACCGTATATTACATGTTGATAAAATATATTCCTTCTTTTTTAGTGCTGGTGGTCTGGTTACGGCGGTAGCTCCTGTGGTAATAAATGGAGGGGGACTATGGGTAGGATGGCCAGGTATACATTTAGATGATCCAAATGAACCCATTCCAGAGTCTGATCCTAATGATATTACTCCCACAGCTGGATTAAAATCAGAAAAGGTATGTTTACCTTATAGATCATTTAAACCTTAATTATTTAGATGTTAAAATCTCAGTACAACTCAATATTCAATTTAAGTTTTATTTGTGTTTATAGAAATTTCTGTAATGCTCTTAGAGGAACTTATACGCTTCTTCAATTAAAACGCATATTTTCTTAGGTTACCCTTCGCAAACTGCGTCCGTTCATTTGATTTGTATTTGACACTGCTATTTGAATTATTATGGTAAAATGGTTTGTTGTTGACAATCGGTTTAAATATAATTATCGTGCGGTCAAATTTTTGCGGTGCAAATTCATATGCGAATGCTAGCAGTGTATAGAAATGTATTTTTTGCGGATCCAAATGGCAATCAATGTTGTCTTAAGAATTTAAGAGAGTGGAAGAGAGGAGACGAATGATAGGCCGCGACTAGGTTCATAGAGTACTTCATCAACAGACAAGAATGTGGCATGTGTGGAAGGTTTGATTAAACAAAATCGTCTAATTTTATTCAGAACAATTTTAGAAAATATTGGTGTGAGTATTGAATATATCCATAGTTTATGGGTTATAGCAAATTTTGTGTGCAATAAGTTCTTCGTCTTTTGTCAGTGGACCAAAAAATCTTGAAAAATGGTTTATCTTTGCAACATCTCACGGAATACAGGCAAAACGGTAATGACTTTTTTTCATAATAAATTCTTGACGAGGAATTTTGGTGTTATTACTTTGAACAATCTAGTGAGATAGTATCGTTGCAATGAAAACACGCAAATTCCCCTCCATTAAAGAAGTTTAAAATCCAACCTTAGTGCAGGCAAGTTTATGTTAATATTTTTTTTGCCATAAAGGAACCTTGCTCATGAGTTTAGAGAACCTAGAGTACATATTGATGCAAACCTGTTTAATAGAGTATAAATAAGCTTCATCAGCTTTATTAGCTAACCCTCCAAATGGACTTCTACTCTATTTTAACTTGGTGTTGCCACTGGTAACCTTAAAAAAATGTGTAGTGCTTCGAATTGGTAAAAATAACCCACTTGTGCCGTACTTTGTTAACGAGCAGCCATTAGATTATGTCTTCTCGTATAACGACCTTGGTGTTATCGTAAACAGCAGCCTAACTTGGTTCGACCATACTACCTCTATTTGTTAACGTGCGAAACCCAGACTGTAAATACTGTCGCCCGTGCAGGTAAACCTCTGGAAGGACGACCTTCCATTGAGATCAGTCAAGATCAGCGTCGAAATATTGGCTGACATCAGTGAAGATGTTCCCTTAAACAGAAGGTTTATTACTTGTCATTCAGAATTAGGTTATACCAACCAAAAATTATCTGAAATATATCGTCAAAGACCGTTAGGTCCAAAATGACAAATGCCGATATGGATGTCAAGCTCTTAAAACCATCCAACATTTTACCGGGGACTGCCAGGCTTTTGCTGCCACTGAATATAAGGAACGGCACGTCTCAGTAGGAAAGGTCCTTCATCAAACTGGTACTTCTCCAAACAAACCATCTCCCACATTATCAATACATTCCTGAAAGTATTTTTGAGAATGACAACTACAAGCTATACTGGGACCGCATTGTGCTCACAGACTAAACAGTGGTGCATAATAGACCAGATCTCATACTAGTTAATAACCTAAAGAGACAAATAACAATAATTGCTGTATACCAACAATAACCTTTGTGTTAAACAGAAGAAAAGATTGCCAAGTATAGAGATCTAAAAATTTAAATACGAAGACAGTGGATAATGGAAAGTACCCAGACAATACCTATTATTCTCTCTACTACTGGAGTCATTCCGAAGAACCTGACAGGTCTACCTACTACTCCATACCACTGGTCAGCAATTTGACACGTAGTAGCAAAACGGTCTCGCAGAGCCAGTAATCTAAAGCGCCTATCTTGACGCTCCGCGATACGCCTCGGTTGACCAGTTGGTCTTCTTCATGTTCCTCAACCTTTGTTTGTCCTCACACGACAGACACACATAACCGTCATTGCCGTACAATAATTAACACGATGGCCAATTTTGCGATACGACAAACCCATATCTCTACACGCAATAATTCTACCCCTGTCAAAGTCACTAACATGGTGGTAATTTTGGTCTTCGAACTCGAGGCATTTTCTTTCACTGAGTACAATTAGATTAATTAATAATAACTAAAAATTTCTATACGAACCGGTTGTCACAAATCGATCTCTTCAAAAAAAATTTAAAGATAAAACTTTATTTTGACAAAAAGTAGAAAATATAAAACATTGGTACTGTTATCATACCATGTTTTAAATACAGTGCGTAAAAGCCAAATGGAATAAATTCATTATTTACGTTACTGTACATATTTATAAAAAATCCCAAAACACATCAAATTTAAATTATAACGATATTCTTTAACGTGAAAATGCAACCCCTACCTTCAACCCCCTTAGAATGACAGGTACAACCCCCAATTTTTAAAATAGGAAGTATAGGCTTGTGATATATCGTTTGAAAGGTCTTTTCATTCTCCATTCAAAAATGTTGTCGTTTTCAAGTTTATTAAGATTAATTAAGATAAAATAAATTAAAATCATGTGGTTACCGAAATTCGCTACAATACAATCAAAAACTAAAATGTAATGCAAAACGTAATAAAATGTAGAACACGAAAAACAACTATGAATGTTAATAAAGTAGATGTTCAAAATATTCACCGCGAACGTCTTGGCAACATCCTTATCTTAAATAAAACTGTCTTCTAACATTATTTAACATAACAGGCGTGATCAACCTAATCGCAAGCGTTATTCGTTCTTTTAAGTCATTTAAATCAGAAGGTTTAGGTTTGTACACATGGCTCTTCACATATCCCCATAAAAATAAATCTAATAATGTAAGATCAGGTGATCGCGCTGGCCATTCAATCGATCCTATCCACCGATTGGGAAATATTGTATCGAGGTACTGCCGGACATTAAGTTGGTAATGTGGTGGTGCTCCATACTCCTGAAAACATATCGTATTCGCTGGAATTTGAGGGTTTCCTGGATCAAGATATAAATTTGCCAACGTTGGAATGACATCATTTTGAAGTAGTGCCAAATAATTGTTGTCATTCAAGTTGCCCCTTAATGAAAAAAGGACCAATAATATTGTTTCCTAGTATCCCTGCCCAAACATTAACCTTTTGTGGGTACTGAGTGTGTTATCTCATCCAGTGAGGATTTTCCGTGGCCCAGTAGTGGCAATTTTGCCGATTAGCATGACCGTTAAGTGAAAAAGTACACTCATCAGAAAACATAACGTCTTTTAATTGGATAATATTGTTATCCAACATGTCCATCATTTGCTCACAAAAAAAAGTTCTTCTATCAAAATCGTCTTCCATGAGCTCCCGAGTAGAAATCATCTTATAGGGATGCAATTTATTTTCTTTTAATATGTTTACTATCGATGTATGGCTATCATTGAATGTAGTGGATAGTCTACTCAATGTATGTGGATTTTCCTGAAACTCAAGCAACACATCTAATTTGAGTTCATCGCTCAGTGCATTGGCAGCTGCTTTTTTTTATTTGCCTTACATGACCAAACTCGCGAAACTGCTTCTCTATTTTACTTATTGTTCCTTGAGATATAGGCGTTACTTCCTGTGTTACTTCCTGTTGTGTTCGGGTGTTATCTCCGTAACCAATCATTTGTAAAACTGTAATTTTATGCATTTCCGTTAATCTAACCATTTTTCAGAATTGAATTGACCGAACTTTTTACTTAAATTAAAATACTGACAACTTAAATAAAACAATTTACTAATGCGTGTTAAAATAACGTTGCCACGGAAATTCTTTAAAGATTTTTAATGGTTACCATCTAAAAACCACGTTGCTATGGTTTTTGTTCACTTTCTCATTATCAATACCTAAACGGGAAATAAGTTTTGAGTATATTTTAGCGAATTTCGGTAACCACATGATTTTAATTTATTTTATCTTAATTAATCTTAATAAACTTAAAAGCGGCAACATTTTTGAATGGAGAATGAAAAGAGCTTTCAAACGATATATCACAAGCCTATACTTCCTATTTTAAAAATTGGGGGTTGTACCTGTCATTCTAAGGGAGTTGAAGGTAGGGGTTGCATTTTCACGTTAAAGAATGTCAAGTAATAATTTAAATTTGACGTGTTTCGGGATTTTTTATAAATATGTACAGTAACCTAAATAATGAATTTATCCCATTTGGCTTTTACACACTGTACACTGTACAGTCATTCTGGCATTTTAATTAAGTTCAAAAAATTATTCCTTCTGGGTGTAACACTTCTAATGTCACTGAGTGTATATATTCAAGATATTTTATTCTTTAAATATTATGTCTTCTTTAATTCCTTAAAAAGTAAAATAATAACAAATATTTGTTCCGTATTTAAATTTTACGCAAGAATATTTTCAAAATTAAAATAATAATCGTTTATTGAAATTTAAGTAATTTAAACCCAAGTTTTCATAATATTTATCTTTTGCTCTTGTTTTTGCTAATCACAGTTTTATTTATCAGCAGTTCATCGTCTGGTACAACGTCCATGTTGTTGCATTATCAATTCTCATATTTTTAAAAACTGTGGCATAGCTTGACACCGATGTTGTATACAACCGTCTTGTGTTATTTGTTTATATTTGAATTTGACACAGTTTTTGATTTTATCAATAATCCGTGTATCATTTTTGCAAATTCAAATAGATAAATGCGCATATGAACTTCCACGAGCAGAATCAGTATAGAAATTTTTCGTATGTGTTTTTCTATATTGTTTTATTATAACACTTAAAATGTGAACCTTGGCACGTGTTTTTTCTTTAGTTTTTCGACTGCTGACTTAATCTCTATTAGCCGATTGGCGCGTGGTAATACACATAGTTTCAAAAGTTATGCACCACCCAAAATTTTCGCTATTATTTTCGAACCATTTTCAGAAGCTTCTGTCACAGAATAATAAACAATCAGAATGTTCGCTCT